CATCAAGACTGCAGAGGTTAGACAACTCCACTGTTCGCACATACTCATGTTGACAAGCCACTCAAAGGAGGCAGCACTGACTTGCTGTGAGTAGTTTTCCTTGGGTGACAAAACAAACAAACAAACAAAAAACCAACAAACTTACGTAGATTAGTAATGACACATCATTTTTGGTAGGATCTACCAGTAAAGAGTTGTTAGTTGGACAGTTAGAGGGTGGAAAAGGAATATATATGTATATATATATATATATTCTTAATCTAGTCATTCCTATAACCATACTCTGCTATACGTGAAGTCTAAGCATCAGGCCTGTCCAAAGATGGCCTTTCATCTTGTTTAGACATCAGTGGGTTGCTACCACTCCGTCTTATATTTTTTAGTATCATTTAACAATGATGTGCTAATCATTCATTAATGATAGTTGGATCTTATAGAAAAATATGCTCCTATGTGACTGTTTTCTGGAGGGAAAGAAGCACAAGAAGTTAGGTATTGATTTTTGAGTAGGTACACAGTCAACTAGTCTCAAGGACAGGAAAATAATGTAAGGTGATTTCATATTAAAAACAAAAGTTTTTGAGCTTTCAGATGCTTTTCATCAATGTAATATAATTGTTAAAAGAAATTCTTAAAGTAACTGGGGCTAGCATAGGCTCAAAAATAAAGTCCCTTATAATAATGGAAGACAAAACTAACAGTAAATTTTAATTTGAAACCCTAAGGTATAAGGCTTTTTTTAAAATTTAGAGCAATAGTCAATGAAAGAAACTTCTAACGCCACATAAAACTTGGTGTGAAAATATTGTATCAATGAGTATTTCCCTAAACACAAAAATACACAAAACTTCTTTCAACCTAAAACTGTACTTTACCAAAATATTGACTATTTACAATGAATTAGTATTTAAAAAATATAAAGCAACATTTAGAACCACTGTGTAGAGACAGAGTAAAAGTAATCATAGTTGGGGCAACAGCTCATATTGTGCTGATTATTCATTGCCTTGAACTGAAAGCTCCAAGCAATGTATTGTTGGTCTTTGGGACCTAACATGCTCCCTTATTTGGGTCACTATTTGAAACTGCTGCTGATCAAACAAAAAGCTCTCAGATAAGAGACTTAATTTCAGAATAAAAAACCCTAACATTAAAATTTTAATTACAGTATACAATTTGGCATTTAATTAGGCATGATCTAAAGTATATAATAATTTGGCTAAATAATAGGCTTTCCAAAATACTACACAAAACATGATAATTTCCCCAGGAAGTGAATGCTTCACTAATTTACAAATGACTATTTAATACGATGAGTAGTGCTTGCTTCATAGCTCTTGACTGATGGGTAGAACTACCCTTTAACTATCCACAGTCTGTACTTTGTGCATGGCATTCTAGTTCATGTTGCCTAATTTTCACCATTAAATGGGAGGAAGGTAATTTTAAACTAAAGTTACAGAGGGCAACTCATCTTCATTTTGATAAAACATACTTTAATTATTCAAATAATTCACAATGTATTGCTTATAATTTCTTTTGTATCAGGAATAGTTGTTGTGAGCTTTTCCTTGAATACATTATGATTAAAAGTTATCAGCAGTGCCTCACTTCAAATCTTTTCAGATAAGTTATTTATTATCATTATTCTTCTTGACACAAGTAAATATTTAAAATATCTCTAAATGATATGAACTAGAATACAAACCTATTCCAAGGAATAGGTCAATTCAAATCAGTTTATTAATGAACAAACCAGAATTTTTTCACAAGGACTGCTGACATTTTTCTGTGAATACCTTTGCAATCAACCAAATTGAGCAACTTATTGTTATTAAGCTTGTCTGACCCAAATTGTAGGAGAGCAAATGCTAATAACAACATTTGGCTATTGATGAGATGCTAAAGGAAATCTTATGCATGATCTCCTAGGACAGTAGTAGGGCGGGCGCATGTGAAGTCCCCAACAGTAGCAGAGAAGATTTTTATCACTGGTCTTTCTGTGAACTAATGATATCCATTAAATGTGTTTTAGATGTCGTCTTTTCAGTCTACTCTACCTAAAGTGCACTACCATCTAAGAAGACGAGCAGTGGAAACCTTTGTGAAGATTCAATTCTAAGGAAAAAACCACATGATGGTTTATTAAGCTGAAGATGTGACTGGGGGGTGGGGGGAGTCAGAACTTACATTTGATTAGTTTACTACAATTGTAAGAAAATGCTTATGTCATTTGAATAATAAGCATCATCCACATCATAAATTCTGTACAACAGATGCTTTTATTAAATGGAGCCACTTGTTTTTTCATGTTTTATTGTAATATACTAGGCATTTATGTATTACTGTGTATTTCTTTTTAAATGTGTAAGTCTTATGTAAATGGATATAAATATGATTTTTTAAAAAATAAAATATATGGTTCATGGAGTCTTGAGTGCAAACATTTGAAAATTCCAAGTACTGTTTGTATTTTACCATTCCACCATTTTTACAGTTTTTGAATTGTAACAGTCAAATCAATATGTTTCCTGGGAGCATGTTTTATGCTTCTATATGTTTCTCCTTCAAGTCTGTCAATACTTAAAGCTGAAAACCTGCCTCTGATCATGTAAAAAAAAAGAAAAAAAAAGAAAAAAGGAAAAAAAAGAATGATTTAACCTGGAACTGGAGCCAAAAATAGACCTTTAAAGGCAATCAGGGATGTCCTATATCTTTAGAAATAGCACTGTGATAGCTTGCTCTCCTTTTCAATATAAAACAAAACCAAACTGTTTACAAAATTCAAAGCAATTATTTAAAGAAAAATTTATAAAGAAAAAACATCTCTTGTTACTCGTGAACAAAAGAAAAAAAAACCTTCTTTACTAAGAACCACATCTTCATTCAAATACCTTGAACTGCCAGCCAGCAACTGTTCAGTGAATGTCAACCACTGCAGAGTCTTAGGCTCATTTCAACTGGAAAAAGCAAAACCCCAGAAACTCTTCCCTTTTGTCAATGTAACAGGGCATTAGTCAGACTCATGTCTAATGTTATAAGCTTTTAGCCAAGATGGCCTTGTGACTTCCCTGAAGTCAGTCTTATCAGAGGAATTAAATGAAAGACAGAATGAATAACATATATAGTGTACAAAAGTATAGAAGAGTAATCTCTTCCCTGTGGCTTAATTTGGTGGTGTTACTGTTGTTTATTCTTTGTTTATATGGGAGATTTCAAAGTAAGATCTATTTACTAAAACCATTTATTTAACTGCTGATTTTCTGCTGCTTGATCTTATTAAGCGCAAGACCTGTCATTAGTAATTTCATTTTTGTATTTGATTTGCTATGTTTGCACGTACATTTGTTTTGATGTCCATTTTTGTTGAACAGATTCAGTCAAAGGTAATGGTAAAAGCAATCCTCTCCATTGTCAATAAAAAAATACTTCCAGTTCTCTGTTTAAGCTTTGTTTTCTAGTCACATATAGTTTAACAATCAATTTAAACTCTACATTTAAGCATTTCTATTTAGTGACTTTTGTTCTATAATTTGTCTTCAAAAGATAGTCTACCACAAGAGGGAGTAGTGAACTTACTTATATGGATCATTGTGAATTTTGTACAAATATTGTCTGAGCACACAGAAAATAGCTGTGAGGTTCCTCTGAACATGGGATCTTCACATATAGACACTAAATATAGAAACTGACACACAAGAATCATGTAAATTAGATTTGTTTGATCTTGTAATCACGATTCAGTTACGTAATCAGTATCTCCCCTTGAGAGATTGATCACTCAGTAACAGAGTAATTATTTATAAACATTTTTATAAAAGAACTCAAAAGTCTTTAAAAATCATGACACTCTTCAGTGTACAAAATAATTCACTCCAGATTCTAAGATCCATTTGCTAGATTATGGTCAGAATCTCAATAATCTTCTCTTTGCTCCTATGAACATGAGTTTTCACATTTTAATGAAATTAATTTTATATGAATAAAACTGCTTTAAAATTTAAAACACATCCATTTGCTTATAAAATGAGCAATTAGAAAATAGTATATGTCTACATATATATATATTTTTTGATGACCTCACCTGGTAGTGCTTGGGGGTATTATACCTACCCTGTGCTCCTGTTTAGTCATAAAAAAATATTAATACTCCAATTGACCTAGCAAAGGAGATGAATTTACTAAGTTAATACAAGAAAAATCCGGTTTTGTGTTATGTTTTCCAATCCCACACTACTGAAAAATAACACAAGCCTACTTGCTGAAGTGTTCCTTCAGATCTGATTATCAGACCAATATGCACAACCAGACACAGAACCTTCACACAGTTCTTGGGACTGTCTGTGTATGCCTTACAAATTATATTCTTTCCAGAGAATTTTTAGCTTTTCAAATGAGCTGAGTCATATCTGGATAAATAAGATAATAAAATTGCCTTGCACGCGGCCGATCTGGCCGACCCAGGTTCGATTCCTCCGCCTTGCTCAGAGAGCCCGGCAAGCTACCAAGAGTATCTCACCCACACGGCAAAGCTTGACAAGCTACCTGTGATGTATTCAATATGCCAAACACAGTAACAAGTGTTACAATGGAGACGTTACTGGGCCTGCTGGAGCAAATCAATGAACAACGGGAGGACAGTGACAGTGACAATACTAACACATTAACAATTTGTTTTCATCACATCTATTTCATGTACATTGACTATCAGGTTTGGAAACATGTTCTTAATACTAATATTCCTGATGGACTGAGAGATAGAAAGGTACTTTGGAAATCAACAAATATTTCATGGCATGCTATATTATTGAAATTTTTAAAATGCATTTTCATAACTGATAGATATCATGTAATTATAATATATAGAATCAAAAGTAGACCAAATATTTAATTTTCTATATCAGTATATTTCAGTTAATTGGTACAAAGCTATAAGTTTTTTTAAAAAGACTCCTTTCAAATTATTTTCTTAGAATTCTCAATAAGTTTCCCCTAGATGTGCCTTTCCTGGATTTCATACACAGAACTGAAGAAAAAACAAGATCTTAGTATTATAAAAATGAAACATGCTTTTACATATCACCTTTTTCAGTGTATTATTACTTTAAACATTTGAGGTTTCATGTAAATCTGAAATATTTAAAAATTTTGTTTCTCCTGAAAACTGTCAGTCCTCAGAATAATGCAAAGCATCAGTTGCCATTCCTTCTTTCAGAACTACCTCTCTAGTCTGTCCCATATCAACATGATTTTATTGTTCCATAGAAAGCTAGAAATTATTTAGAAAAACATACAGTCAATTAAGAACCTAAAACAAGAGGAGGAGTTTCAAAGATTCTTTATTTCTATAAGAAGGAGGTTAGATTTAGTGACATATGGGCTACCTACCAGGTAGGTGATTTCTTGACTATATAACAAATATGAAGGTATTGTTGTATAACTTGATATCCAGTCTTCACTCAAAAATGTATCACTAGATATTTCTTCTACCTAGAAAATCATCAGTCCAGATAATTACCTATTGATTACTTCCCATTTCATTTGTTGAAAATATCCACATATGCAGTTATCTCCAGAAGATTTTTAAAAATTACTTTTCTTGGAAAGATTATAATTTATTTTACTGACTTCCACTTGAGTTTTAAGTTTCGGATCAAAACAGATGATTCTTAATTTCAGAAATTGGCACCAGATTTGTTTCGCATTCACTTAAGACAGAAATTCATTTAAGACTAATTTCAGAAGGACCCATTTTAATTTTTTTAAATTTATTTTTAGGGGTGATTTCTGGCAGTGCTTGAGGGCCAGGTCACTTTGAGCAGAGCTCTGACTAGCTGGGCTCATGGGCCACCAGTGCCACCTGCTCACAGATCAGTGTGACCCAGGGTAATGTGCGAGGCATGTGCCCCATATTTTCTGTTCCCAGAGAATAAACATTTCCACAATCAACGTTATGTATATTTTTCTTTAAGTATTGGACAATCTCAAAAGAGGCATGTGACAGGCCATTGGATATAATCAAACAGATGACACAGGACCTTCACTGGTGTTTCTCAGTACCATTTTGAGACTAAGCTTTGCAATTCATGTCACTTCGCAAATAAAATTTCTTTTTAAAACATTTTCTAGAAATAATTGTTTAAAAACTTGATCCAGTTAGAAAATAAAATTTAAAAAAAAAAATAAGTAAAGGACAATCTCATGATGCCTGCTTCAGCACTTCTTCTATGTGCCCAAAAATACTGGGATCTTCAATAGTAGGAGTTATCTGAAAAGAAAAGTGGAATTCTATGAATTATTTTCCCTTCATCCTTTCCACTTAAACAAATATATGCAATGCTGTATTCCCTCAGATATTACAGGAGTAATATGAAAATATTCAGAAATAGGAACCTTGGAACCAAAACTCTATTTAATTAGTAATCTGTTTAATGAGCAAAACTACTCAGTTGCAGGCAAGGTGAGAACTTTGCCTGCTGTAGTCTCTCTCTCTCTCTCTAGGCCCCTTCCAAGCCCCCCAGTACAAATAATTGAGTCAGCTTAATTTCCTAAACTGATTTTTGTCCAAAATAATATAGCTAACATATATATCAGTTAGAAATTTAAAAATATAACCTGCCTCAGTTGTTTGTTAATAGCCATAAATTATTACTCGGAAGAAAATACATGTTTAATAAGACTGACTATCCAGAGATTTGAATAGAACTGACTTATTTGCAAACAGTAAAAATATTGTCACATTCTTATTCTTGTAATCAAAGTTGATTTTCTTAGTTCATCTGAATTTCCAAAACCCTCATTTCTCTCAAATAAAGATTGATAATGTAATTTTTCCCTACCCATAAAAATTTCTAAGAAATTTTGTTTTTACCAAAGAGGATGCCAAGAAATACCAGTGCCCAGCCAACATTAGACATCCTTGCAATTTACCTTGTAGGGTTTTCCATTTACCAGGGCAGATAGTGCTGACCGGGGGATTTTGCCAGATCTGGTTTTGGGTAACTGCTTCACAAACACTGCATTTCGAAAAGCAGCCACGGGCCCAATGCTCTGTCTGACATGTTTTACAATTTCTTCCAGAATTTGTTTCTCTGTTGTGTTTATATCTAGGGAGAAAGTTTCGGTGTCAGCTTCCAATGAACAGTTGATTGCACAGCACACAAACAAGGTGAACATAATTTCTCACCTTTTCTCAACACACACAGTGCCAAGGGGACGTGGCCTTTCAAAGGGTCTTCCTTGCCAACAACAGCGCAGTCAACCACAGTGCCATGGGAAAGGACTGACTGTAAGAAGAGATATTCATTTAGAATATATGTGCACACTTAACTATTGTATACACACATTCAACTAAAAAATAAAATACATGCCAGGGAGCATGCACTCTCATAGCAAGCTGTGTGAAATTTACTACTAGTTCATAATTAATTCACATCATTTCTATTGGGGTGAACAGTTAGCATCATGTAATAAATGATCACTTTATAAGGTTAGGACCATTTAATAAATTATCACTTTATAATTTAAAAAAAATATAATAAAGGCCAGGAAGATAGAATTTGACATCCAATGGAAACCTATGAACAAAGAAAGCTGTGTGCAATCTGGTTTTAGTGATGACTACCTTAAACATACCTTCTAGAGAAATCCAAGGCAGCACCATAACTAAACAGTGACTTTATTTTCTATATCTGTTACTGAGCAATAGTCAGAGTATTTATTTTTCTTTAGTGACCACCAATCCAGAAAAAATTTTTCAAAATTTGAAAAAAGAGGCTGGATGTGGAATGAGTGAACAGAAGCTCAAGTAAACGTTTTCATATGCTCACCTGATGCTCTTCAGTGCCTTAAAGAGCAAACCAGTTGTCTTTTTAGACTCACAATAAGCAAAGTGGAATAAAATTTAAAAATAAACAGAAGTTTAGAGTTCAACAAACCATTTCTTCTGTGATGAAACCATTTCTTTTGAGCCACACCTAGTTCTATTCAGTTCTATTCCTAGCTCTGTGCTCAGGGATCACTTTCAGGCTACTCAGGGGCTCACATGTGGTTCCAGGGATTTGCCCAGGGTAGGCTCTGTGGAAGACAAGCACTCTACACCTTGCTATACTCTCTCTGGCCTAGATATCCAAAACAACTGGGCTTTTCTGAGGGCTTAATATGTATTTCAGAGACTCCAAATTCTAATAATATATATATACACATATATATACATATATATGTGTATATATGTGTGTATATATATATATATATATATATATATATATATCACTGTCACTGTCTTCCCGTTGTTCATCAATTTGCTCGAGTGGGCCCAGTAACATTGTAAGACTTGTTACTGTGTTTGGCATATTGAATACATCATGGATAGCTTGCATTGCTTTGCAGTACGGGTGAGATACTCTTGGTAGCTTTCTTGGCTCTCCGAGAGGGGTGGAGGAATCGAACTAGGGTCGGCCATGTTGACTGCATGCCTATATATATGTATTATGCCTAGTACCACATTTGGGAGGTCTCAGTCTCTTTTCATTCTACTAATATTTTCTAAGACTCTTCTGTGTTTCACCCCTGCTTTTGCTTCACTGCCTCATAAATTGAATATTTTTCCTACAGTTTACAATCCAGCAGGAGAGAGTGACATTACTAAATAATGATGATTGTCTAATTTTTATAAATGCCTAGTCAGAAAGGTCTTATAAAATGTGCATTTTTGTCATACAAGAGATGTCATAAAAGAAAAAGCTTGGCCAAAAACATAAGCCACATAGATTCTTTTCATTAAAATGTGTCAATGAAGCAGCTGGAGTGGGGAGGAGGTCCTCAGCTGTCATTTGTCAAGGAGGAAGAGTAGGACAAAATGTTGTAGAAGAATGTTGATGTATCTTTAAAAATCAAAAGCACAAAAACTGGTAAGTCTACAACTGTACTTCATGGTGTTTCACTAATAAAAATTTTTAAAAAAAGAAATAAAAACAGCTAACTTTAAAAAAAATGAATATGAAACTAGTAGAGCTGGAAAACATAAAGCAAATAAGAACAACTCAAAAGGAAAAGAATTTGCAGAGGTCCAGAGGAGCTGTGCTAAAACTTCCAAGAGTGAGAAGGGAAGAAAACACCTTCAGAGCTGAGCAGATGCAACATCAGAATGGATGTTTTTCATTTTTTTGGTTGTGTATGTGTGTTGGTTTTTTCCTTCCTTCCTTCCTTCCTTCCTTCCTTCCTTCCTTCCTTCCTTCCTTCCTTCCTTCCTTCCTCAGTCTAAGACCTTATCCTTGCACATGACTGATCAGGATTCGATCCCCAATTCTATATAAGTCCCCTGAGCACCACCAAGAATGATCCCTGAAAACAGAGCCAGGGTTAAGCCCTGACACCAGCTCGATGTGGCACACACTTCCGCTCTTAAATAAAAGGAAAATACTACAAATGAATAATACATAATTTCCATATACGTCTTGCCTCTATATATACCTAGATTTCCCCACTAAGAAAATCCCTTACCCGTGTATTGTTTCATTTGATAACTCAACTCTGGCACATAATTATAAACCTTAATAGTTTATCCAGAGCTCACTTTTGAGTACCTTCTATTGATTGATGGCATGTGTCCCCCATTCTAGCATTTTACAGTGACTTCACTGGCCTCCAAGTACCCAGAGTTCTGCCTATTTGTGACAAATAACCTGCTAACCCCTGCAACCACCAATCCTTTTACTCTCTTCAAAGTATGTCTCTAAAATGTCGTACATTGGAATCATACAATCTATCACCTTTTCAGATTAGGCTCATACTTCAGAGTGGATTAGAAAAAATCAGAAACACGTTGAGTTTTCATTTTGTGATAAAGAATTGTTGTATCACATTTTTGAAAGGAAACCATTGGAATGGTTTACTATAGCAGACATAACTCTACAGTAATAAAAAAATAAAGATTCTAGAGATTTTGGAAGAAGTAAATTGGAGAAATTTTGATGATGAAGTGGAAGAAGAAATAAAAAGGACTAGGACTGCTCTTTTTCCTTTGTATCTTAAGCAACTAGTCAGGAAGGGTGTACATTCTAAGCCAGAAAATGCCGTTGAGTGTGAAGGTTGGGTGAAACAATTATGTATTAACTCATTTGATGATCCCTCAAAGTACCTTTTAGACACCTGCATCAAAAACAGTTGTTGGATCTGAGACTGACTCTCTCTCTCTCTCTCTCTCTCTCTCTCTCTCTCTCTCTTTCTCTCTCTCGCTCTCTCGCTCACTCTCTCTCTCCCTTCTCTGTCTGTGTGTGTATCTGTGTGTGCGTGTATGTGTGTTTGCGTTTGTCAGGGTAAGTTCCCAAGCATCTTATAAAGGCCTGAGCCAATTACCAGTATTTTTCTGTCATCCCGGCCAGACTGTGTGGTGCTCAGTCCTGCGATGTGATGTTACTCAGGCCTAGCAGTGCTGAGGCCAAGCAGAGTTGCACTCAGTGGTGCTCAAGTGTTTCTAGGGCTATGCCTGGTGATTCTCATGGGGCACTGAAGTCCATGTCAAATGGGTCCTTGTGCATTCAAGGCATGATACTTTTACCCTTTGAGTTATTGCCCTAGCCTCTGTAAGACTCAGTCCGCAGATGAGCATTTGAAATCTTTCATGTATAGATGGAAATAAAAGCTGTGGACACGAATGAAAGTGCATCTGGAGAAATTATAAACTTGCCATAAATAATGTGTGTGTATGTGAGATAAGGGGGAAGGTTTTACGACACACTTTGCAATATTTTTAGGGATAATCCTATCTCTGTACTCAGAGATCACTCCTGGCAGTGCTCAAGGGGACCATATATGGTTTGGGATCAAACAGGATCATTTGCATGTATGGCAAGCATCTTATGCATTGTAGTATCTCTTTGGCCTCCATGAAAAATGTTTTCCATTTCTGGAGGGATGAGGATTGGGCCACACCTGACAGTACTCAAGGATTACTCCTGCAGAGCTTGGCTTGGGGAACCACATGCCATGCCTGGGGGTGACTGAACCCAGGTTGGTGATGTGCAAGGCAAGTGCCCTACTTGCTATACTATTGCTCTGGTCTCAATTCTTTTTTTTTCTCCATGATTATTTATTTATTATTTCCACTTTATTTGTTTATTTATTATTTTTGGTATCTCAGGAGCCTTGCCCTCCTACTTTGTTTTTCCTTAAGTTTTTAATGAATCACCGTGAGGTACAATTACAGACTTACAAATTTCTGTGCTTACGTTTCAGTCATACAATGATCAAGTGCACATTCCTCCTGGTCCTAATTGTTTTGTAATTTTGTTTTTGGGCCAAACCAGCTGCAAAACGCTTACTCCTGGCTCTGTGCTCAGGAATCATTTTTGAAGTGCTAGCGGAACCATATATAGTGGCAGGAATTGAACAGGGTATCTAATTTAGTATCCTCTAAAGAAAAACTCTTTTACTAGCTAACCAGATTTTAATTACTTTATATAAAGATATTCAAGGGCTGGAGCGATAGCACAGCAGGTAGGGCGTCTGCCTTGCACGCAGCCAACATGGCCGACCCGAGTTTGATTCCTCCGCCCCTCTCGAGAGCCCGGCAAGCTACCGAGAGTATTCGATATGCCAGACACAGTAACAACAAAGACTCCAATGGAGACATTACTGGGCCCGCTTGAGCAAATCGATGATCAACGGGAGGGCCTTTATTTATTTATTTATTTATTTATTTTTATAAAGACATTTATTACTGGTGTATGTGCCTCTATTCTTGAGTTTCTAAATACCAATTTATCTGTTCAAACATTATTTTTAAAAAATCGGTCATCCGGGTATTTTTTTCCCTAACCAGTATGACTATGAGTTCTTGTTTTGATTTTGCCGTTGTCATTGGTGGGGGTGGGGTGGGGTTCCATTTAGCTATACACGGGGTTTAATCCTGGCTCTGCATGCAGGAGTTATTCATTGCATAAGTGAAGGGGGACCATAAGTGAAGCCAGGAACCGCCTGGGTTGGTTGCATGTAAGATGAGTATCTGAACCTCTGTACTATCTCTGCAGACCTCAGACTGTAATTTTAATGAAGCTGAACCTCAAAGCTTCTATCTATTATTTGACCATCTTATTTTAATTATTAATTAATTATGTAATTTCACTATGATTCTAATGATTTAGAAGTGAATGGAAAATAATTAACTGGATTTCAATAAGATGCAAGAGAGAAAAATCAGAAATCCTATGTAATATAATTCCTCATACCTTCCAAATGTGAACAAAAACTTAAAAGGCACAAGAATATTTTCCAGCATTCAATATAA